TATATAGATAACCCAACCCCTTTACCCCCTGCCCTGCACTGCTCTTTCCAGTAGCAGGTATGACAGAGCCAGACCCATATCCAAGGGAACCTCACCATCCCAGTACATGCCCACAGTGTGCTCCTGGGCTGGGAGCTCCCCTCACTGCTGTACAGCAGCCAGGAGTGGAGGCAGGCACAACACTCAGTCAGTGACAGATAGGAGCTAAGGAATAAACCCCTCTCTTTCCTGCTTCCAGGTGTGAGGACACTGAGGTGTGTGTGACACAGTCTTCCAAGGTTCTGCGATGGGACTTAGCTCCAGTTGCTCACAGTGGTAACCTACTCAGTCACACACTCCTGGCCGTGTGACTTTCTCTCTCCTCTATCTGAGCTTCCTGGGATCACCTCCCAAATAATCCACCTACATTCCAATCCTTATCTCAGGATCTGCTTCCAGGAGATTCCAACCTAGGAATTCCAACCTAAGTTACTTCCTCTTTAAATACGGATACTTCGGGAGAGTCTTATGAATCCTTTCCCCTTGCCATGATGTTTACCAATTCAATTGTGTGTCTCCTCGACACTGGTTGCTTTACCCCTTGGAGATGAGCCCGGGTCTCATAGTGACCGCCTTGGTCTTACACAAACTGCTCAGATCCCGGGAGCTGCAGTTTGTCTTCTGGGAGTGGAACCCTCCCCATCATGAAAGCATCTTCCCTGTCTGGTGCCTCCCCTGCAGCGGGGCTGCTCCCAATCCCAGCTCCACCACCTCTCCCAACACGGCTCCAACACGGCACTGGGTGCACAACTGTCTTCTCACTTGGAGGTTCTTCTTCAGTAGAACTTTCAGGTATTTCTTCTGCCCTACCAAGTCAACTCAAGCAGATGCTCCTTTTATTGAAACATGAGCAGTTCAGAGACAGGCACTCCATTTTCCTTGGCTCACCTGACATAGCTGGAATACTGAGACCATTTCACTCTCTCCCAAGGTTAGGTACAAATGCAGCATCTAAATGGGTAACTGAAATATTTTGCATGATGTGGCCAGGCTGTTTTTACTGGATCAGGAATTTTTCCCAACTTTGGAAGAGAATTTCACCCACACCACCCTAGATGGCAGGGCAGCAAGATGGCTAATAGCATGGACGCCAAAGCCAAATGGTCTGGTTTTGAGTTTTGGCTCTGCCTCACTGTCTACTCTTAGGCAAGTTAATTAACCTCTCTGAGCCCTCCCATGAATGAAGGTAACAACAGCATCCACTTCCAGGATTGTTGAGAAGATCAAATGAGCTGATGAATATAAAGAGCTTCATGTAGAAGCTGGCACAGCATAAGTGTGCAATGATCATTGCCCATTGTTACTATTAGTATCAGAAGTGCAAGGAACAGCCTACATAACCATTTCTCCATGTGACCCTTGCACGAAGGTTTAAAACAGTGAAGTGGAACTCCCCAATTTGAACTTTAGCCCTATGATGAAATCCCCTGGTACTCCACAGCAATTCCGGCCAGGCCTAGCACAGTATAATCCTGCTGTGAAGTATCCAGTTCACTTCTACTTTTAGTAGAATATGTTTCACAGTATAATAGTTCAAAGAAACTTCACAACGCCTACCCCAAAATTTATACTCTCATTCACAACTGCTATCTCCATCTCTTTTGGTACTTACGATTTGATTTATTTTTATGTAAATCCTTTGTCACTGCTCCTAGGCAAAACTGAGCAACTAGAACATGCCCATGCCTAAAGACCAAGAGAATTAGAGTTTACCCCCAAAACAACAAAAACAACAAAATGCAATGTATAATAGAGGAAAAGGATTATTAAATTATAGTAAAATCTGTGTGGATTCAAATGGGGGTTTGAACATTGTATTTTTGTGTTAACCAAAAAACAAAAGTTTACTAAGTAAACTAATACTGGCAACGAGCTTGGGGAATGAGTAGACCAATTACTAATTCTCTTAAGAGAACACATGACCCTGAAGAGTAGCCACTGGATGCATGAAGACTCTGGATGTCTTATGAAACTGGGCTAGAATTTTACCTTGAGAAGATGGACAACCACTACTTCATGACTTTTCTTAGTACAGTATCTAAGTTACTGCTACAGATGAAAGATATACAACCATTTAAAAGACATATCTTCTTGTAATTCAGAATTATCACTAATTTGATAAATTCTCTCCCCCTCATTAGTGCTTTCCACTTCATTGGCAACCCCAATTTCAGCTCCTAACTCTTCCTGTCTGAACCAACCCTGATTTCTTCAGTTCTACCAACTCCTTCCCCCAGTTCCTCCTGCACAGCACCACCAGCCTCATCTTCCTGCAGCTGCATGCCGGTGATGACGCTGCTCTGTTCACAAGTTCTGCCTTCACCTGCCCCAACACACACACACACACACACATATATACTCCCACGTACATGCACACACGATTCCAGGAGGAAATCTCAGTCCTTAACCCGGTACGTATAAAAATTAACTGCCAGTCCCCGAAGACCAACAACTCTGGGAACAGACAAATTTATTTGACTGTCTAAAGAAGAGATGCGTGGGTTTCCACTGGAAAAGAAAATGTAACTCATATAAGGAATTGTTCTCAAAATAAGGAGGATTAACTAATTCATCATTTTACTGAAATGTATTTAGTTCCATAATGTAACTTTCCAAGCTCATTGTCTACCACTTCCCTACAAGAACATTAGACTTTAGTCAGGCTGAACAACCAACCACTGGGCTTTCCTGCTTCTGCTCCTTCACTCATAACATCTCCGAACCTTAGAATGTCCACCATATTCCCATTGACTGACATCCTTCCCATCCTGCACACTAGTTCAAACACCACCTCCTCCACCAAGCCTTGCGCCACTCATGTCAGTGGAAGCAAACCTTTTTTCTTCATGCAGCACATGCCTACCCCATGTCACTGCCATTTATCACATAGTATCCTGTGCCTTAGAAAGGGTATATCCTTGAAGGCCAACACTTGGAATTCATAGGGGGACCTACTGTGGCTTCTCATACAAATCTCTTGCTCAGAACCTACTTATTGACTTCAACCAGTGACACTATACTGTGTGCTTCCAGCCAGTCCCTGAAGATGGACAACTCTGGGAACAGAGACGAATTCATTTGACTGTCTAAAGAAGAGATGTGTGGATTTCTACTGGGAAAAAAAATGTAACTCATATGATAAGGAATTGTTCTGGAATTAGTATATAAGGATTAACTAAGTCATCATTTTGCTGAAATGTATTTAGCTTTTAATTGATGGAACATCAATAGGAAACTGAAAAAGGCAAGATATAAATTTCTCAAAATGTTACCTAATTGATTCTTACATATAGTCAATAATTAAAGCTTTTAGGGAGATGACACCTTTCAAAATAAAGGGAAATACTTCTCTTCTAATTATTATATGTAACATCTTTAAGGGGTTGTCAGCTGTATGTCTCTTGTCCTAATTTTAAATATAACTTAAGGAGACTACATAACTGTATGTAAGGTAAAGAATCAGTAGTGCAAATAGAAAAAAAAGTCTCCCGTTTTACTTAAGTACCATTGACACTGCCGTACTAAGAATGCGTTTATCAGGAATGGCATAGAAAGAACAAACCAGTTTATAGATTAAAAACACATCAATTATTTCATGACCCAATGTCAAACAGAAAAACTGCCTGAACGGTTTAGAAGTCTATCACATCGTACCACGTTTAGCGTACATCTAATGGCACAGAAATCATTTATCATTAAAGGCCTTTTTATATAGGTCAAGGTTGCTGGAACTTGGTGTTTTATATCTTACAGTTTAAAGAATGCTCTAAATTCTAGGTTTTTTAACTTTTTAATCTTTGGGAAGGAAAACTAAAACTTCCTATAAACTCAGATTAATGCCTGCTAATGCATGGAAAAAAAGAAAACTAAAACCTTCCTCCTACTATAAAAACAAAATAGTGTGGCCTCTGTTTCTTTTCTGATAAGAGTCTTAAATACCAAACAGTTAACTGCATAATAACATTTACTGGCAGCCAGGCAGCCTGCTTAGCAGATATATAAAGCAGGTAAAAGGAGAAAAAGTTAATTTCTTGGCTGAATGATTCCATCGGTAGCTATAGGGCAAACCTGAAAGTCTTTTAGTAAAGTAGCAGTTGGTTCTTCTATCAATCTGTAGCACACATACTCTTCCAAGGAAGGCATTAAATATGAAAATCATATCCCGTTATCATCGGTTTCCAGCTTTCAGCCCAGTAAGCTTTTCTTAATGAATGCTGCAGCCTAAGGAACAAGCACGCTGTTGGCTTCTCTGAATAATGGAGTGATGCTACCATTTTTGCTTATTACAATATCGACTGGCTGAGGGGGGTTCACACATAGTCACAAGTGACTACTCTTGCCAGCATGCTCCAAGTTATTACAAGATGTTTTTAGACATTTCATCTAAAAGAGCTTTACTGCTTTTAGTGAAGAAAACATCTATGGTCTTGAACAGAATCATTTATATGGAGATAGGCTGCAGGATTAGAAGCCTGCATTACGGCAGATACATAGCAGAATTTATTTAAGTATTCCTTGCCAGTCTTTTTGTCTGTTGCTTAGATATGCAATCTTTTCTTTCCACTTCCTCTGTAAAAAGGTTAAAATGTACAAAATTATATATACAAAGAAGAGAAGCAAAAGGCCGTATTTTGTTTACCTTTTACTTAAAACATTTCTGGAACTAAGAAAAAAAAAGTGGCTACAAAGCATTATTTAGACAAACATAATTTCACCCACTAACGCCTCTAAGGTTTTCTTGGGAATCTGTCTCTTTTAAACCTGCCCGTGACGGCCTTTCAGCACGTTTAATTGAATTAGACATTAAAGCAATACTCTATAAGGAAAAGTCTTTAAATAATACTTAAGGGTTAATCAAAAAGATCTTTTCAATAAGATGATTTTATTTAAAACACTATTGTAAAAGAGGAATACTCCAGAAATCCTCTGTCAACAGAAGGTTTATTATTTTAAGTTATTACCTTTCCTCTGTCTTCATCTTCCAGTTCGCCTCTTGTTCCCAGGCTCTCTTTTGACAGTAGCTGCATCTTCTTCATTTGAGCCTCATATTCATTCTAAACATAAACAAAGTTTTGATTTTTTGGTGGCTCTTATGACAACCAGTACCCGTCTATATTTTTCAGTCTTTAGAGCATAAAAAGAACACTGAAGTAGAAAGTAAAAGCTAATGATGCCAAGAAATTCAACTTAGAAAATAGATAATTTCACAAATAAAATGTCAAAAGCTGAGTTCTATAAAATGCTATATTTTTTAATGCATTTTTATTTAACTTCCCCCCCAAAACATTTAATTAACATACAATGTATTATTTGTTTCAGGGGAAAAATGCTTATTTTAAATAAGATTTGATGGATTCTCATTGTCTTTCATCAACATAGGGAATAAAACCTTGGCACATTAAGCGCTCAGGAAAATCCAGTTACTTTATTATGAAAGCAACACATTGGACAGTGTCTACTCTGAAAACTTTTGTCCTAAAGGAAAAGAAATCAACCCTACTGACTTCTTATCTGTGTGATATCTACATTAGTATCATGGTGCTACTACGATATACTATTTGCTAGATCATTGACTTGAAACGAATTCTATTTTCTATGAATAAAGATATATAGTAGACATCAGAGATCAGCACCATAGGAATGATGTTTGCTCTGGCACTAATAACTACATAAAGATGTCTGCTTCATTATCACACTATAATTGATGAAAGTGATTCCATCATAAAATGACTTTTTCTTAAAAGCAAGGCATAAAAGGTGCTTTGATTCAGTATGTTAGTAGTTAAAACCTTAAGAAATTCACTAATGGTGGTCCATCACAGATAAGTATCAGAACATGTTCTAAATTAGACCATGATGCACTGCAATTAGAAATACACCTATGGGAGAGAAAAAAGAAATACACCTATGAGATAATCAAAGTAGAAAACTGTTTCCTTAGTTCTCAGTCTGAACATGAAATTGGCCTCAGCTTTGTTCTGACATACAAAAAAACAGTGATGAAAATTGATTTGTTTCCCTCAAAATATCTTAAAGGGTATTATATGCTGCCCCATTTTTAATAACAGTTAAGCAGGGAATTTTTTCCTCTCTCAGAATATTAACATGATAGATGAAGGTAATGATCTAAAGAGATTCCTAATTAAACAAAAGTTTTATAAGGCCAGTACACACAATAAACCAAGAAAAGATAAAGAAATAAGGCAATTAAGATAATGTAATTTACATCTCTCTGTTCTATATCTACCCCTTTGGACTCAGAGATATTTACTTTTTAACCCCAAAAGCTTTCAAAAGGCATACTTTACAGATTCTAAGGGAAAATATCCTTATAAAGGGATGGGGTAGATTATGAAATAAACAAAATAAACATTGAGTTTTATTAAATAATTAGAGGTTAAACACAAATTCTTCATTCCTGTGGCTGCAAATATTTTCTTAGGTTCTTTGAGATCAGTTATAAACATGCAACAGGCATTGTATCTGATTTGCTCATTATGGGATTATTTCAGAGCCACACCTTCCAAAGGCAGAGTACTTTCTCATGGGAACATGTGAGTTTTGTTTAATTCATTTTGCTGCAGCAAAAATTGATAACTGCATTAAGACTTTATAGAGAAGTCTCTTCACTAATCCAATTTAGACTGTTCTCAGTGCATCCAAAAAATTTACTGAATTATAGGTACTTTTCTAAATTAGTGAGAAAATAAAAACCAAACAATGTATTTGAAATTAAAAGTTGCTATAGGGGCGCCTGGGTGGCTCAGTCGCTAAGCGTCTGCCTTCAGTTCAGGTCATGATCAAGCCCTGCATCGGGCTCCCTGCTCAGCGGGAAGCCTGCTTCTCCCCCTCCTACTTCCCAAGCTTGTGTTCCTTCTCTTGCTGTGTCTCTGTCAAATAAATAAATAAAATATAAAAAAAAAAGTTGCTATAAAAATCAAACAATGTATTTGAAATCAAAAGTTGCTATAAGTGGATAATTGATACAAACTATAATTCTACGGGGGCACCTGGGTGGCTCAGTTGTTAAGCGTCTGCCTTCGGCTCAGGTCATGATCCCAGGGTCCCAGGATCGAGCCCCGCATCGGGCTCGCTGCTCTGCGGGAAGCCTGCTTCTCCCTCTCCCACTCCCCCTGCTTGTGTTCCCTCTCTCGCTGTCTCGCTCTCTGTCAAATAAATAAATAAAACCTTAAAAAAAAAAAAAACTGTAATTCTACATCCCCTAGGACCACAGACTTGCACCTACAAATGCTCTCTTTCTTTGCCTTTTTATTTATACATAGGACACTTGGTTACCATCCATCAAATCCACCTTCTGAACACTGGAGAGCAAGGGTTTTCAACCCCCACCTCCTATTCTATCTGCATATAAACGAAGGGTTGTACTATGTTTAAAAGTTTTTGAAGTTTGGAAAACTGTATAGATGAACCTTTCCAAAACTTTCACAGCTAACAATGTCTCATGAGACAGCAGAGCACACGTCCCAGTTTTCCAACCATCAGTCTTTCATGTTGTATTCCCCATTTCTTCTCTGATCAGGTCCCATTATATTTCCACAATACATCAGGGCTTGTATTGCATCCTTTCTGTCTGGTGCTGACTCAGGCCCCTGTTCCCTCCTTTGTGTGGCCTAGGTTCCTCACTGTCAGATTTGCTGCTTTGGGGGCCAAAGTTCTTATGTCCCAGTAGCATCTCCAGTCCATAGCCTAAGGACAGTCCTTTCTTCCCCCAACTCCCCTAGGGAAATCTGTTTTAATAAACTCAACAGCACAGAATCAATCCATCAGGTAACTTGTTCTGTCCATTACCGTCTTGCTTCACAGCACTGGGCTGGATACTGCCCACCTACATTTGGGAGGACTCTTCTACTCACTTCCTTACTATGCACAAACCATTTCACCTCAGCTCAACTGATGAAATCCGTTGATGATGGTTTTGGGTGGTGGGAAGAGGAGATGGAGGTCCTTGCGGGTCTTCCAGGTCTCTAAGATATCTCTCCATGCTCATGACACATCTCATTTTCCATTCTTTCCTTCTTTTCTTCTGTATTCCCACTTATATTCCTTCAGTTTCCCCTCATCACATTAGCACTTGCCTGAAATGTCACCACTACCTTTTACTTAAACAGGCTTCCTTTTTTCAGTGGTCTTTGGGATTATATAAAAATTTCAGTTACAGAACTGAACAGACATTTAAAATCTACTGGCCCAGCCTCCTCATGTTGGAGTTGAAAAGATGGGTACAGAGAGTTACACAAACTGTCTGATGTGACCCTCAGGGCTACAGTTCACAATCTTTTGTTTTCTCTTCTATTTCTTCCAGTATACAGGTTTCCTCTTAAATGCTGAGTTTTTACAAAAAGGTATGGAGAACACTTACTTATATGCAACTAATGTATATTAATCAAGTAAGACACTCTTATCTTAAAAAATAGGATAAGCTACAGACTGTCTTCCAGGAGCCTGAAGGCCATGCCCTGTCCACAGTGGCTGTCACAACGCTCAGCAGGAATTGAATGAGAACTCAAAGATTTGTTCTCTTCAAATTTTATCCCCAGTAGGCACATATCACCTAAGAACTGAATTTTTAACAAGAATCACATCTTTAATGGTAACATTATATCTTTAGAGTGTCTCTGCTATTAAACAGAAATACTCCTGGGAAGGTGTAACACAGGATAGAACCAATACCACATTAGCTCTCCCATAGTTGTCCGTGGTCCATAAGAGAGAAAGATGAAAAATATGGAAGAATCAATTTTCGGTCGTGGGGGGTGGGGGGAGTCTCAACGCTTACTGAGTGCTTCAAGACTACGGAGGTGTTCTTCAATGCTAACCGAGTGCTTATTATATGCCACATTCTGGGTCAGATACTGACAGCATTGAAATAATAAGATGAGGAGCCCACAGTGAGGTGGGAAAACATGTAAACAATTGCACAAAGGAAGTGCTTACAGAGATAATTATGGCACAGACCTAAGGCAGGACAGAGGGAAAGAGGCCTTCTACTTGAAGAAGATAGGAGATAATGCGGTGCTTTCAAGGAAATACAGTGTTCAGCATGTTTAAAATTCAGTGGGTGTGCATGAGTGAGTATAAGCATGTGTGAGAGAGAGAATGCACACATGTGTGGGAGATAAAGATGGAGCGGGATGGGGGGGAAGACATGGGGGTGAGGGAATATTGCATGAGGGGGTATGGAGGAGACAGGGGTGAGGAAAGCCGGGGGTGGGGAGAGGGAGCAAGCAGAGATAGGAGGCAGAGATGGGGAGAGAGGAAGGAGGTGGGGGGGAGGGGCGTGTGGGGAAGAGAAAATGTACACATGTCTGTGTATTTGTGTGAGAGGGACAGTAAGAAGAAATGTGTTAGTGCATGTACATGCATGCATGTGTTAAGGGTCATAAGGCTGAACTGCGGGATGGTATGCAGGCAGAGAGCGGCATCTGGGCTTTGTCCTAAAAGGCTGAGCAAGCACTCAAGGTTTTCAGGCAGATGAGAGACATAACCAGATGATGATTCTCCTCAACTGAGGAACCCCCTTGGATGGGCTGACATGCCAGCCTCATGCCTGGCACTTGAATAGGGAAGGCTGAAACAGAGCTGGTCATGTTCGACACATGCCCCTTGGGATCCTTTTGGGTGCTCCAAGTCCCAGCATCTCTGTCTCTGTGCCCAAAGAGCTCACAGTTAATTTCCCCTCACTGCCTCTCTTCCCCATCAGTCCTCAATCAGTGATGCTCATGAGCCATGTATGCATATTCCAAATGCTCTGAACCACTCTCCAGGGTTTCCCTGTGGGGTTAAGTTCCAGATGCCGACTATGGTAGTTGGCTTAGTGATACACCCTGTTCCAGCCACCTGTCCTTCCCTGTCTCATCTGCCTACCTGCCTACTGACACTCACTGTACTTCCCAAATAAACCACTTACATTTGAATCCTTGTCTCAGGGTCCACTTCAGGAGAACCCAACTTGAGATAAGGTCAAAGGGCACCCAAGGAACACTGCTCTAAGGACCAACTGGGGCTCTTCTACAAAAGCACAAATGCAGGGAGCGGGGTCTGGAGGGGGTGCAGAAAGAAGGAGAGAAGGACACGATCCTCACAACACTACTAATATTTACATGCTTGAATGGAGTTTAGTCAGCCTCTTTATCTCACAAGTAGCAACATAGCCACAACACTGTATTTTCAAATCTACATGACAGATCAACAGTCTTTAAAAGCCCTGAAAATGATCACAAGTCCCCAAATAAAATAGTATAATTCATAAAGTCAGTTGAAAGGGTATTTTCTTTTTAGTCTTTATCCCATTTAAAAATATTCTCACATTATATCTACAAAGAGGGAGAAATGCACTTAATATAATTTGAGCCAAATGACAACTTCTTGCATATCGCTTCACTCTGTTTCACTTTCTGGAACTCTACCAATTGTTAATTCATTTGCATTAATTACAGTCTATTCAAGGGGAAATATCCCTGGCATTTTGGGGTGTGTGGGCAATATGCTCCATCAGAACACCTCTCTCCTAAGACTTACACGTGGTCAGCCAGCAGAGGAGGTAAAGATCTGATAGCTGAGTGGGGCAGGATTAAGAGGAAACAAGTTGTTCTGGCCTTCCTAAGACCACCACTGGACACCAGGACAAAAGGAAGAGACAGAAAGGAAGGGGAAGACAGCAGGAACAAACATTCCCTTCTCTGAAACTCTGCTTACTACACAGTTTGCTGAGGTAAGTGGTGTCACTAGCTGGAGTTTCAAGTATCACTACTTGGTTTCACGGGCACAGTTCAAGCATTCAGCTCTGGACTCAGGGTGACTCCCAATGTACAGTTCTCCATGGAACTCATATCCTTCCCAACTGTAGCTACATGGTCTGCTCTTCTATGCCATCACAGATTGTTTTCAAAAGGCATTCCTTATCCAAGACTCAACTGCTCTTTTTTGATTTGATTTGATTTTAAGATTTTATTTATTTATTTGACAGAGAGAGAGAGAGAGAGAGAGAGAGAGAGAGAGAGAGACAGCAAGACAGGGAACACAGGAGAGGGAGAAGCAGGCTCCCAACTGGCAGGGAGCCCGATGCGGGGCTCGATCCCAGGACCCTGAGATCATGACCTGAGCCGAAGGCAGGCGCTTAACTGACTGAGCCACTCAGGCGCCCCTCAACTGCTCTTGATATAAAAATATTTACAAAGGATCATTCTCCCTTTCAAATTCTTCCCTCTCACATTTGGCTATATCGTGAAATCAACAATTAAGTAAAGCATCAATGTAAAAATAAAAGGAAAACTTCTATTATTTCCTTTTTTCTGTTGGGAAGGCAAAATTCCCTGCTTTGTCCACCACTTTCATTTTCTCTATGGAATCTCTGAACAGCAAAGAGATTTACATTGTTGATACTAACAACTGCTTTTTGAATGTTAAGTATTCTAGTTGAATAGTAAGAGAAGAAAACCCGGAGTGCTGCAGCTAAAACTTCCTATTGCTTGAGCATATCTAACCTCCAGATCTTGGTTTCTAAACACCCTTCTCCACTAAAAGGAACCACAGCTCCTTGGAAAAGAGGCTAATTTCATGTCTGAGGCAGGGACATATCTGGTAAACCTGGCACACCTTGTGCCCCAAAGCCAAGAAGGCTCAGAATTAATGGGGTCAGGTCGAAAGGACACAGAAGCCAATTTGAAGAGACTCTCCCAGGCAAAATTTGGGAAAATATGAACAACAAAAAGAATAATTATAGTGATTGATAGTACACTGACTAAATAAAAATTCACAAGTCCATGATGATACTTAAAAAAAGAGAGAGAAAAGAAAGCAAGAAAGCTCTTCTCTATAGAAGAATGCCAGCTGATAAAGTACAAGTCTGAATTAGAAAAACCACCATTTCACAACCTCCACTATAATTGATTCAGGCATCACTGACAGATCCTAAAACCACTAGGTAAAAGACTGTTGAGGGACAAAATATTCCCAAGATGTCAAACTATCACTTCATAGATTATTTGCTCAGTTGCAAAAAAGGTACTATATAATAGAGAGATCTAGAGACTGCCATCTTAACCAATGCATCAAACTCAACCTCACTTAGATCAGACCACCTGACATCACAACTGATGAACCTCCTGATAGGATGCAATAGGAAGTATGTAACCTCAGCTGTGACTATTTAAATTTAACTAATTAAAATTAACAAAGTTAAAAACTCAGTCCTCAGTGTCACAAGCCACATTTTAAGTACTCAGTAGCCATGTGTGGCTAGTGGTTACTGTATTAGACAGCAACAGTATAGAGAGTGAACATTTCTATCACTATAGAAAGTTCTGTTGGACAGTGCTGGTCTAATCCAAATTTTCAGTTAAATGATATCTCAAAGAAATAACCAGTCAAATTCAGATCACAAATTAGACTACTTTCTTCAAAAAGCCAGTGTCACGGAAAAAAAAAAAAAGAAGAGTGGTAGGAGACTAAATTAGATTTGCAGACCAAAAAAGATACAATAACCAAGTGTAATGTTAACTTGGCTCCTGGTCTGGAAAAATAAAAAAGAATTTTGGAGGGAACTGGGGAAATTTAAATATCGGGTGGATATTAAATGATATTATTAGTTTTCTTAAGTGTGATAAAGGTAGTATGATTATGTAGGAGACTTTCCTTTTTCTTAGGAGATCGACACTCAAGTATTTAGGGGAGAAATGTCATGGTGTCCACAGCATACTTTCAATGGCTCAGGAAAACGTGTACACACATACACATACACACACACACACACACACACACACACACACACAGCAAATATGGTAAAATATTTACAACTATTGCAACTGGGTAGAGAGTATGTGAGTTTTCCTAGTCCATTCAGGCAGCTATAACAAAACACCACTGACTGGGTGACTTATAAACATCAGCAATGTATTGCTCACAGTTCCGCTGGAGGCTAGAAAGTCCAAGATCAAGGCTCCAGTGTGGTCACCTTCTGGTGAGGACCCTCCTCATTCAGAGCCATCACCCTCTCACTACATCCTCCAATGGTAGAAGGGACTAGGGAGCTCTCTGGAGCTTCTTTTAGAAGGTATCCTATGTCATCCATGAGAGCTCCACTCTCATGACAGAAGCACCTCTCAAAGGCCCCAGCTACAAATACCATCACACTTGGGGGTTAGGACTTCAAGATATGAATTTCAGGAGCATACAAACATTCAGACCACTGCATGAATGTTCATTATAAGAATTCTTTTCATTTATCTACGTACTTGAAATAAAGGCTCAGTGGGGGAAACTCCTACTAGAGGAAAAAAAAAGGGAAGTACTGAAGTCAACTTCTGTAACCACTATTCAGTTGGGTTAACTTGAGCAACAGCCCTTGGCCAGCACAAATGGTGAGAAAAAAGGCCTAGCCCTCCATACTTGGCATAATTTGTGAGCCAAAGGTTGCCCAGCACCTTAGGGGAATGGGGTCCAAGAATCAGAGAGGGCCATGGAGAGCAGTTGCTCTGGGTCACACAGCTGAGGAGCATAAAGGCAAACTCCGTAGGGCCAGTTCTACCCTCTGTCTCTCCCCAACACACTGCCTGACCAGAACAGAAGAGCCCAGACCCCAGAAAAAGAATCCTTTAAAGGAGGTAGTCCCCAAAAAGAATGACAATGACATGGATGGAGCTAGAATGTATTATGCTAAGTAAAATAAGTCAGATAGAGAAAGACAAATACCATATGATTTCACTCATATGTGGAATTTAACAAACAAAACAGATGAACATATGGGGGGTGGGGGAAGAGAGAGGGAAACAAACCCTAAGAGACTCTTAACAACAGAGACAAGTTGAAGGGCTGATGGAGGGAGGTGGGTGGGGGATGGGCTGGATGGGTGATGGATATTAAGAAGGGCACCTGTTATGATAAGCAATGGGTGTTGCATGTAAGTGATGAATCACTGAATTCTATTCCTGAAACCAATATTGCACTGTATGTTCACTAACCAGAATTTTAATAAAATTTTTTTTAAAAGTTAACTTGATAAATGAAAAATCATAAATAAAAAAATAAAGAAGGAGGTAGTCTCTAGAGGGATCCCTAATGCTGCTCAAATTCAATCATAGGGCAAACAAATACCATATGCCAGGTCTGTGCCAGGTAGTGGCTAGTGTCTGTGCCTGTACAAGGTAATTATTTGTGTAGTGTAACAAAGTACAGATATTCCATTAATTCCTCAACTAAAACAGAAATCTGAGAAAATGCAATTTCAAGTTCCCCAATCAAAATTTGGCCACACAGAATCCACAGAGAAAATGGGCAATTAATCTTATGGATGAACAACTGAACATTAGTGACCACTGATCACTAACTGCTCTTACTTCCTTCCAATTTTAGCAAAAGAGACCGAGAGAGAGAGAGAGAGAGTACAAAACAAGATGTTACCTTCAGTTCTTGAAGCTTCTCTGTATTTGTGGTAAGGTGTCCAACATGAGCTTGGACATGCTCAAACCGCTTTAAATATTCTCGGTTTCGGGTATGAGCCTTCTTTTCTGATTCACATATTTCCTTCAGGTATTTCTTTAGTTTAACATACTTCAGCTTAACTCTAGAAAAATAAAAGCATATTTTTAAACATTGCAGTTAAACTCTGACAAATCAAAGGAGGAGAATTTTCTTTAACAAAATTGTTAATGAGACAATACATTCGAAGATATTTTACCCAAACACTGGAAGCTAAGGGCAGAATGTACATGCATTTTCAGAGAGAAGAAATTAATGCAACATCACTGAGTATCACATCCAGGTATAACTCTCCTGAGAAATGTATACAAGACTACATTATAACATTCACACAATAAAGATTTATATGGATTTCTTTCTCAAAATTAAATGTGATTTCAAGAGCGGTGTCTATGTGGCCATGGTCGGATGAATAGCCCATTAGCATTCTTTTTATGACAGACCATTTCAAAACTACCTGCTTAGATGGAAATAGAATCAAACTATAAACCAAAATCCATAAACATTAAGAGATTCCAAAATATAAAATATCCCAAAAGCTCTCATTCAGATAATATTAAAAATTTTAATTAGGAACTGTCACAATATATTTTTAAAATATTTTATGATATATATGGGCTGTAATTCAACTTGAATTGTGAAAAGACCTTTAGAGACTCTCATCCAAAGTGTAAAACAAAGAGTACACTACTCTTCGCACAGAACCAATGCTGCTCGCTCTAGCTCTGGGTGATGATGAAGATTACCCAGGGGCAGATAACAGAGGGTCTGGTAAGCTGTTGTGCCAGATACTCTGTAGGCTGTCCTCACACCCTCCTGGCCCAGCTCTTCCTCTGCCAGCCACCTGGTAGCACCTGTCTCAGCTGCATCTGGTACCTTGCTTTCCCAGAGCTACTCCTCTGAGTTCGCAACATGGATTCGAGAAGGAGTTAACACCTCCTGGGGCAGCCCTGTACAATGCAGAGTTACCAGCAGGTAAATGGCTCCCCTTCCTTCCCTTGAGTGGACACTTGTGAGGAGCAGGGAGGCGGGCTACATGGCTCCCCTGAAGGTCTGAAGGATGGAGTCCCAGGTGCCCACAGCAGTGGCCAACTCCTACTTCATTCTTCCCAGCTCTGCTCGCCAGTTTTATGTGACCACTTCCTAAAATAAACTACCATCTACATACAAACCCTTGTCTCAGGCTCTGCCTTCTGGAGGGGGTGGGGGGACAAGATTGAAATAGCCATGTCAGACAGTTTGGATTTTTATCCTGTTAGGAAGTCAAAGAAAGTTTACTTTTAGCAAATCATTCCCTCTGTCTTCCAGGAAACGAGAGGCTAAGTAAGAGAGGGGAACAAACTAGGCAAACTGATAGCTTGGTAAAGATCCCCAGGAAGCCAGGAATAGGCTGCAGGTAAAGTCTCCACCCCTTCAGCCATCCCCTTAGCTGCGGGCTACAAAAATGGCAGCTGCCACAGATGCTCTCAGACTTGGGCCCATTTCTGAGGCCATGGCATCCACAACACTGCTATTACTTGCACCATCTCACTGGCTTTTTGTCTCTTCTAGAAATACTGGGGACATATCACTGTCCACCGTGACTGGTATCCTTGGAAGTACACTGAATCCTAAAACCATATGAGGAAACAAATGGATCCGATGGGAGGTTTGGTTTTAAAGTTTTCTCTCAATTCTGAATGACATGTTTTCATTTCTCACTCACATTATGCTGTAACTAAATCACAAAATTAATGCTATCACAGCGAGAAATTTTTCATATGAATAACATTGGAGGGGCACCTAGGTGGCTCAGTCGTTAAGCATCTGCCTTCGGCTCAGGTCATGATCCCAGAGTCCCGGGATTGAGCCCCACATCGGGCTCCCTGCTCAGTGGGAAGCCTGCTTCTCCCTCTCCCACTCCTCCTGTTTGTGTTCCCTCTCTCTCTGTCTCTCCCTTTGAAAAAAAATAAAATCTTAAAAAAAAAAAATTGGAGGCAATACCACACATTTGGCTTAAGGATGAAGTTCAGTTTCCATAAAATAGAATTAAAAATATTAAAAGTTGGCTCTTCATATTAGAACCCAGAAAGGATAACATGTATTTTATCCATTGCTCATAATAATTTTCACAGGCATTGTCAAATACCCATGAACAAATGAGACACCACATAACCTTGCCTTCAACAGTTGGTTGAAGGCCAGCTACAGTCATTATGCCTTGATCATTACACAGGCTTAATATGTTTAAATTGTGACCAAAAAGATAAGACTATATAATGTATCTTATTCTTTAGATTTTTAGGCCAAATAGATTCCTGAAATACCACAAGTACCAAATAGTGAAAATAAAACAATTTTTATCTTACACAAATATTAACGAAATTTATTCCTACATTTGATAGGATTATATTACATTTCATTGTTTACTGGAAATGAGTATACACTAGACACAAGAGAACAAAGTACTGCAATTATGGTATCTGTAACATACATAAGGGTTACATTTTTATTGATTAACATCAGCCAACTGGCTTAAAAACTGTTACCACTGTCACATCTTACCTGTATACATCAGATTGATTATATTCATACAGTTTCTTTTCCAGGTCCAGTCTCTTTTTTTCACTATAATATAGAAAGAAAATATTTTATAAATAAGTTACACTGATAAGTAATAGGCAGTTGGATTTAGAACACGATCTCTTTTGAAATTACACCTTTGTGAGAATGCTTCTCTGGTCTTTCTAAGAAGTAGAAAATGCCAGCTGTTTGAAACTCAAGACACAAAAATATTTGGTAGTCACCATGGAAATCTAAAAAGCAAAATGATACCAATATGAAGCAAAAAGAACAAGATTTTCAAAGTAAATGGTAGAAAGGCACTAAGAAAAGACTGGAAAGCAGGTTCATTCATTCAACAAGTACTTCTTGAGTGCCATGATGAACGGGGTACTGTTCCAGGCCTGAACACTAACATGGCGAACAAGCCAGCCAAGGGCTCTGCTGTGGGCAACTGACATTCTAGAGGGAAGGACAAGCAATAAACAAGATAAATACGTAGAATATACTATGGCCAGATTTTTCGAGCTAGTGGCATTTGAGTGATGGGGGTTCCACCAGGTCAAGACAACATACTTCCACAAATCCACCCTGGACTGAAGACTGGTGGCTTGCTCTGCTCCCAGCCAGACCAGCCTGGGCAGAGCCAAGTCTCTGAAAAGTATACCTAGCTCCACTCACATTTAATGAAGACCAAGTCCCCTAACACTATTACTTTGGATTTGGAGGAGTTTCTTTTTATCTTTGTGACATCACCATGATTTGTCACTGACTGCTACTCCCTGGAGCTACTTCCAGGAAGGACTTAGCTTGTATTGTTCAGGTGGGTGCTGGCAGTAAGCTAGAGGACAAAGCTTACCCTGCATACCTGTACACCCAAGCCTGGAAGGGAAACTGGGCAGCAAAGGAGGTAGCAACAGTCAAAACCAAAGGGCTATGGGGTACAACTGCTGAACAGGACTAGCCATCCCAGTCCCAGAAAGAGCCCTTGGGGGGGGTTTAGCCACAGGGGGGGGGGGGGGGGGGCGGGGTTTAACCACAGAGTTTCTGTTCCACCACCAAAGTATAACCTTCAACTGAAGCCAAATTGCTAATCTAAATTAACATTAACTAAGCCCAAAAGAAAAATCACATAATGTCTGCAAGAAAATGCCAGGAAAAAAGAAAAGACTGAATCAAAGTCCAGCAGAAGGTGACCTCAGGTGGTTCAGCTAAGGGAAAGGGGCTGAACCCATGTTCCATGTGGGAGCTCTTAATTATTAGTTTCTGTTTTTCTTTAGATATGTTTTCCCTTTAAAAAAAAATTCCCAAAAGTTACTCTGTTAGCTACATTAGAAATTAAGTATATTTCTTTGCTTAGCATAATCTAGAATGGAAACTACCACTTAACCAAATTCTTTGAATGGGAAAATGGGATCCAAAATCCAAACACCAAATCCTAGCTCGGGAACACAAGGTCTATTCTTTAGTTAGGGTGTGCCTATGTTTAAAAAGGAAAAAAAGATTCCAAGGAAAAAAAATCATAGAGATGCCATTTTTTTAAGTAGTAGCACCACACACATTTTTACTTTGTCATTAATAAGAGTGAACTTATTTTTTGTGTATGGTGTAAAAAAATGGTCCAGTTTCATTCTTCTGCATGTGGCTGTCCAATTTTCCTAACACCATTTGTTGAAGACTGTCTTTTTCCCATTGGATAATCTTTTCTGCTTTGTCAAAGATTAGTTGACCATAGAGTTGAGGGTCCATTTCTGGGTTCTCTATTGTGTTCCACTGATCTATTTGTCTGTTTTTGTGCCAGTACCATACTGTCTTGATGATTACAGCTTTGTAATATAGCTTGAAGTCCAGAATTGTGATGCCCCAGCTTTGGTTTTCTTTTTCAACATTCCTCTGGCTATTCGGGATTTTTTCAGGGGTTTCATACAAATTTTAGGATTATTTGTTCCAGCTCTGTGAAAAAAGTTGATGGTATTTTGATAGGGGTTGCACTGAATGTGTGGATTGTTCTGGGTAGCACAGACATTTTAACAATATTTACTTTCCCAATCCATGAGCATAGAATGTTTTTCCATTTCTTTGTGTCTTCCTCAATTTCTTTCATAAATGTTCTATAGTTTTCAGTTTACCTCTTTGGTTAGGTTTATTCCTAGTTATCTTATGGTTCTTGGTGCAATTGTAAATGGGATCCATTCCTTAATTTATCTTTCTTCTGTCTCATAGTTTATAGAAATGCAACTGGTTTCTGTGCATTGATTTTATATCCTTCCACTTTGCTGAATTCCTGTATGAAGTTCTTACACCATACACAAATATAAACTCAAAATGGATGAAAAACCTAAATGTAAGACAGGAATCCGTCAAAATCCTAGAGGAGAACACAGCCAGCAACCTCTTTGACCTTGGCTGCAGCAACTTCTTGCTAGACACATCTCCAAAGGCAAGGGAAACAAAAGCAGAAATGAACTACTGGGACTTCATCAAGATTAAAAAAAAAAAAAAAAAAGCTTTGGCACAGCTAAAGAAACAGTCACCAAAACCAAAAGACAACCGACAGAATGGGAGAAGATATTTGCAAATATCTTGTCAGATAAAGGGCTAGTATCCAAGATCTATAAAGAACTTATCAAAGTCAACACCCAAAAAACAAAAAATCCAGTCAAGAAATGGGCAGAAGACATGAACAGACATTTCTCCAAAGAAAACATACAAATGGACAACAGACACATGAAAAAGTGCTCAACATCACTTGGTATCAGGGAAATACAAATCAAAACCCACAATGAGATAACCACCTCACACAGGTCAGAATGGCTAAAATTAACAACTCAGGAAACAACAGACATTGGCGAGGATACAGAGAAAGGGGAACCCTCTCACACTGTTGGTGGGAATGCAAGCTGGTGCGGCTACTCTGGAGAACAGTAGGAAGGTTCCTCAAAAAGTTAAAAATTGAGCTACCCTACAACCCAGCAATTGCACTACTAGGTATTGACCCAAAGGATACAAACATAGTGATCCAAAGAAGCACCTGCACCCCAATGTTTATACCAGCCATGTCCACAATAACCAAAATATGGAAAGGGTATAGATGTCCATCGACAGATGAATGGGTAAAGAAGAAGTGGTATTATATATACAATGGAATATTAATGGGCCATCAAAAAGAATGAAATCTTGCCATTTGCAATGATGTGGATGGAACTAGGGTATTATGCTAAGAGCAAAATAAGTCAGTCAGAGAAAGACAAATATCATATGATTTCACTCACACGTGGAATTTAAGAAAAAAAAAACCACAGAGGACCATAGGGGAAGGCAGGGAAAAATAAAATAAGACGAAAACAGAAGAGACAAACTGTAAGAGACTCTTAACTATAGGAAACAAATTGAGGGTTGCTGGAGGGGAGGGGTTAGGAGGATGGGGTAACTGGGTGATGGGCATTAAGGAGGGCATGTGATGTAATGAGCACTGGGTATCATAAGCAACTGATGAATCACTGAACTCTACCTCTGACACTAATAATACACTATATGTTAATTTAAATAAAGTAAAATTAAAAAAATAAGAGTGAACGTAGAAGAGAAGTGAAGGAAATACGGCATAATTGCTTCCATGTTAGAAATTTTTATTAATCACTTTTGTCTCTTTTAAAATTTCATGATTAATAGGATACTTAGTTCATGAAGAATGAATGACTGGACAGTGAGCTGTCATTAAATTACAAAGACAGAAAGACCATTAAGTGTGTCTATGACCTTGTGCCCTGATGTCATGCCTCACTTCTGTGCTATTCCTGCCAAGAAAGTGTTATCAGAGTCTGGTCATGAGGAACCATTAGATGGACCCAGCTTTAGGATCACCCTCTAGAATGAAAGTTGTACTCTGCAAAACTGTCAGGAATACAGGACAGGGAATGACTACGGAATAGCTCCAGACTGGGGGAGACTAAAGAGACATGGCAAATGGGTACACAGATGGGATCTTGGACCAGTAATGAAAAAAGACAGTCTTAGGACACTTGGCAAAATGGGCAGGTGGTGAAATTTGATTGGAGTCTGTGGACTGGTATCAATCCGTGTTGATTTCCTCACTGGGAGAGTTCCAGGGTGCATCCATGCCCAGGAGCATCCTTGTTTTTGGAAACAGACACTTGAGTTTTTAGGAGTAATGGGGCATTTTATCTGTAGTTCTCAAATGGTTCAGAAAAGACTAATGACTTTGGACAGATGGGCAGATGGACAAAAACAGAAAAAATATAATGAAATGTTAAGAACTGGGGAATCTGGGGGCACCCAGGTGGCTCAGTTGGTTAAGTGTCTGCCTTCGGCTCAGGTCATGATCCCGGGGTCCTGGGATCGAGCCCCACATTGGGCTCCCTGCTCAGCAAGGAGTCTGCTTCTCCCTCTCCCTCTGTATGCTCTCTCTCTCTCAGATAAATAAGTAAATAAATCTTAAAAAAGAAAAAAAGAGTTGGGGAATCTGGGTGAGGGGAATCCCAGAAGTCTTTATCCTATACTTGCAACTTTTCTGTAAGCTTGAATTTAATTCAAAATAATTTTTAAAATCCACCTATGACCTCTGGTGAAAAAGGTCTTTTTGGGAATCCATCATCTCCTGTGCAGCAAGTGCTTTTTAATCATAAACACAGAACTTCTTCGTTCTTGCTCTGTCTTCAGTAGATACATACATCTGCCAGTCACAATGACCCATTACAGCACTTGACATGGTGAAAAGCCACAAACATCTCCTGGCCTCCCACTGAGGACAAGATGATGCTAATCTCATTAGTCTTTAACACAGGCCCTTTTCCTAACCTCCTCATCCACACTGCAGAGCTTCTGAATGCTGTTTTTCCTTTCTTTTTTAAATTTAAGACTTAAAACAAGATATTTACCCCAATAAAAAGCCAGAGAAAGGTTTATGGGGAGGATTATCTTGCAACCCCTACATACTAAATCTTTATTTCAGAATCTCTGAAACACCCAGCCCTGGGATATATACCCATAGCCCACGGTTTCCGTCACCTACACCCCTCACCTGGACCATTCAAAGGTTTACACAGATGGGTAGTCCTTAAGAGTGTAGCCACATGCTTTGCTTTTCTCCTTTTAAGCCACTTGTTATTCTGTTTTTGTCTCAATACCAACTTCAGCTTTACTCAACTAATATCTCAGAATCAATTTCTGGACTATTATGATATCTCACTCTGAATCAATAGTGGCATTGAAAAAACTGGGGCTGGTTAATGGGCCTTTTAAAGGGATGTTTTTATATAATTGTAAGAGTCAATTCCACTCACATGTTTCTACCATGCTTGTGGCACTACACACACCGTAACGAGTCACTCCAGCAGGCTCTTTAAGATTCTATGATTGATTTCACCAGAGTGCAGAGAAAACACCACACACAGAGGAAAAAATTAAGAATGTACATCTATGTGTGACTACAGCTGAGACAATTTGGGCTAGAAATACACCACTTACAAAGGAAAGGCCCTGTTATTAGACCAACTATATTAGACCAGCAATGAGCCAGCTCTAAGAAGGCCAGGAAAGGGCAGATTGCTTTTATTTCCCACCCCCAGGAAATTTCTGGACTGATAAAGCAGCTGTGATGACCCAGAGATGCAGCCTTTAAGAGTCTGAACTAAACAAAAAAGCAGGTACATTCAAACACTCAAATAGGATACAAACAATGACGCTCACTACTTGTTGCTTTGCAAACTACAGCTTCCAACTCTTCATTTGAAGCTCATTACTCTACTAGACAAAAAACAAATCTGTGGCCTTACCGTATATGTAATTCAGTGCTCTTCATTTCTGGTGAAAAACCAAGGTTCAGAGAAGCTGAACAACCTGCTCAAGGTCACACAACTGTTCGTAGAGCAGAACCCAAGTTTCTCTGCATCCGAAGTTATTTGCCTCTGTACTTACTATGCATTAGTTATGGACTTTTAAAAAGAAAAATAAGGAGCGCCTGGGTGGCTCAGTTGGTTAAGCGTCTGACTCTTGATCTTGGCTCAGGTCATGATCTCAGGGTAGTGAGATCAAGCCCTGTGTCAGGCTCTGTGCTCAGCAGGGAGTCTGCTTGGGATTCTCTCTTTCTCCCTCTGCCCCTCCCCCCTTCCTTTCTAAAAAAATTTAATAAAAGGAAAGATGAATACACATGCAACAGATTTGTACCAACTTAAAATTTTTTTAAAGACTCCAAATGCAGAACCATGAATGGGCTATAAAATTTGACTTGAATTCCTTATATAATTTCAACAGCCTCACCTTGCTTAACAGTTAAAACATTAAGTGTTAAACATAAAGTGAGTACTAATCATTACACAGTTATTATACTATAGGGACTATAAACAGCCAGGTGTTTCTAGCATAGGAAGTAAAAATGATAACTCACAATGAACTTAGTTCAGAAAGAATGCCATTTGGACCAGTAACATTTTAAAATTAGAACATGGGCTAAGAGATACAAATACCTAAAGGCCTCGGGTAACTAAGCTACTCTTCTAACAGAACAGTGTCAAAAGCACTTTAGGCGTGCTGATGTACAGAGCAGTGTCTTGTCTTTTAATTATAAGGTATGTGCAGACACTTAATACTGTCTTTGAAATATCATACTGTTCACTTTCCCTGGTTGACTGGAAAAGCGTCATGATTTAGTGACAATGTGTGGCACCAGTGTTATATACAAGACATTTGTAACTCCTGGACCCTGGATGCTTGGCTTTGGGATTTCTGCCATTCACTCAACAAACATTTGTCAAGCCCCTCCTCCCCTGAGGTACTCTATTACCAGCTAAAGATCCAGCTAAATATGGTTCCTGTCCTCCTGGAATTCTCTCTCTCATCAGGGAGCAAGTCACTTAAGCCATTTATCTACAGTGCTGTAAAAATAAGAGATCACACAAGTTAGGGAATGGGTTGATCAATACTTGCCATAGGGAAGGCACTTCAGGAAGTGATTTTTTTAAAAGTTGAAGGTGAGGAGGTCCCTGGAGTGGGTGAGTGGCAGTAGGTCAGAAAGAAAATAGGATACAGGAAAGGATTAAGGGGTAAAATATGGTAAGGACAATTAAGGAGGCCTGTTGTGGATGCTCTATAAATATTTGACAAGAATTAAATCTAGGATAAGATGAATATAATTCCTTTTCATAACCACATACTTCTGCCTTTACCTTGCATGTAATTATTTTTATCATTTTATAATTGTCACACACAAAGCTCTCCTCTTCACTGAAATGATTTTGTAACTTTTAACATTCATTAAACGCTTTGTTTATCAAGAGATCCAAATATCTACTTCCTTTCTTGTCAGCTAATGAGATTTCCAACTCCAATTAGTTTAGCAGCTAAATAATAGTTCCAACAACTTATCTTTTATGTGGTTATTTATAGTAAATTGCTTCATAATTTTCTCTCTGTGCTCTTAGATCTAGCTGTTTTCAGTGGCTCTCCTCTTTCATGTCTTAAAGTATCATGAACCCTCTGGAAGCTGGACTTCTGTAAATTTCATCCCTTTGCTGGAAATCTGGCCAGCCCTCGTTCCCCCCAAAAATGTCTCCTGCATTTAAATAGGGCATATTGTTACACACACACACACACACACACACACACACACACACTCCCGCCTGCGTTCCCGGACCTGTCATCATTGAAGCAGTGCAGCTGTCAGGGTGGGATGACAATTTGAAGAGAGACAGGGGAGGAGGCGTGTAGAAGGAAGTAGAGAAATTCACAAGGCGTGATTGAGAGTGACAGGCAAGAGAACTCCCACTCTCACTTCTGGGCAAATTCAGTGATGCGGCCGCATCCTCCGGCGGGAGACCTCCAATAAGGGCGATGGGGCACGGTATTTGGTAAACTTTGTCCTCCAGGGCCCACCGGGAGCCTGGGGGGGGGGAGGGTCGCGAGCGGACCCGGGCCCAGGGAAACACGGCGGGGGGAGTGGCAAGGAACCGGAGTTAGGGCACCGACGGACCCTTGACCGGGCCCACTCCCCGCCCCCGCCCCGGGTAGGCCATACCTGTCCCGCAGCTGGTGCTGGAGGCGGCCCAGCCTCTCGTAGTAGTCGGGGCTCGCCAGAGGCTCTGATGATGTGGAGGCCGGACGCATGCCGCCGCCGCGCTCGTTCCGCACAGCCAAGGGGCAGCCCCCAGGGAGGGGGGCTGGCTGGTTGTCCGAGGCGACGGTCCCACCATGCACCGCGGGTAAACAGGGCGCCAGCCGCCATGCAGGAGGCGGGACCGAGGGCCTCAGGGGCGGGGCGGAGGCGGGGACACCGTGGATGGGCGGGGCCGACGTCGCGGAGGGGCGGGGCGGAGGCGGGGCGTCTTGTGAGGCTGCACTGGCAGTCTCCAAGAGGGTCGGTGGTTCCTCTCTCGGTGCTGGTGGCGGGGTGTCAGGTCGTGTGGGCGCTGTTCCCCGGCTTCTCCGCCCCTATTCTGGCGTCTCCCTTTCCCCTAGCCCTTCAGAATTCTCACGGGAGAGACCCTGGCCCTCCCAGAGGCAAGGAGCCCCACCGAAGGCCAAGTCAGAAGCCGGTCCTGATTACGCCCCCCGACACCTTGGTAGAGGCTGGAGGATTGGGGGGAGCGCAGCTGGGCTGGAGCAATTTACTTGTTCATTTTTTTGTTGTTAAAGATTTTATTTATTTGACAGAGAGAGACACAGCGAGAGAGGGAACACAAGCCCGGAGAGTGAGAGAGGGAGAAGCAGGCCTCCCGCTGAGCAGGGAGCCCGATATGGGGCTCGAACCCAGGACCCTGGGATCACGACCCGAGCCGAAGGCAGACGCTTAACGACTGAGCCACCCAGGCTCCCCTTACTTGTTCATTTTTGACTTTGTCATCAAACTACATTAATTTTCCGAGTTTCATTCTCTACTTCTTCCTACCACCTCTACTTCCCTTCTTCCAGGATTTCTGAGAGCCAGCACTGTGCTAAACTTGTTTTCCTACCACACTTAACAGCAAAACAAAACACCACAAAAAAGACAAAACCCAAAATACTGAGCAACTGCGCTCAGCCCTGACAGTAGAACAACCCCTTGCTTGAAAGTCCGTGCTGACCCAAGATTGTGGTTAATGCTGCAAATGACATTACTGGTTGGTGAAGAGGGAAAAGTTGCTAACTAGCTGCTTATGAAGCAGACATTTGTTTGTGCAGACGTGGCTCTGTGGGCAAAAGCCCTGCAGAATTCTTCAGCAGGGATTCTGGAGCCAGACTGCCTGGGCTGGAGCCTCCTTTTCCTCAGCCCAGCTGTGTGACTGCAGGCAGGTCATCCTCTTGATGCCCAGACTTCCTCTTGTAAAACAGGAGGCTCTTAGCGCAGGACCCACCTATGCCATTGTTATAATTACTAATTAATGTGTGTAATGTTTATAAGAGGGCCCAGCACATAGCATCAGTTTTTATCATCATCATCATCATCTTGGAGAATAAGCTTCCCAAAGAAAAACATATTCCAAAACGCACAGAGCAGAAGAAAAGGAACTACAGTAGAGAGTTTCTTTGGTCTCTTATTCTTCACTTGGTTTCTCTTCTCAGCCATTAATTTAACTTATTCTTATGTGCAAGGTGTGACTTCAGGTAGCAAATTGATCGTTAGCAAGACAGATGGACCACTTAAAGGTTGGCAATATAAAATTATAATGTTACTCAGCCTGCTCTTTATATTTGCCAGGTCCAGAGCAAGAGTTCTTGAAGGCCTTCATGCTATCTGTTGAAGTATTAAACAATTATAACTCATGATGACAAGTTGTAGGTAAGCTATGTTCGCTCCTCCTACCTTGACCAATGTGCCTTCATAAGAACCAGGAAAGCCACTGGGGAATTTAGTTCTATGACTTTTTCCCCTACTTACCCTCTTATTTCCCACCTCCGGCTCAGTCCTGCCCTGTGAGAGGTTCCTACACGGGCAGAGATGTGTGTGTTCCCCACCGCAGTCCACAAGTGCCTGCTCTATCCTGATCCCCACCTTAGCCTCCTCTTGGCCACACATCAAGTCTAATGGTGAGCACACCAGTGATAGTCACCCTTGCAGGAATGATCCAGGAAGGAGGTCTCTACAGGCCTTGGAAAGGAGCCTGGGCCCCTTTCAGCAAAGAATGTCAGCACCATAGGTACCCCAAATGTGTTCTAGAAGGGTGTGTGTATGTGTGAGCTCCAGGCAAGTCACATGCTGGCCCTGGGACCTCTTGGCCGTGTATGGAGTAGCGTGGCCAGAAAAGGGCAGAACAGTCTCTATAATATACAGAAGCTGGGGCAGGGGTCCTCTTACCTGGATAGTACTAATGCTATATTTCTTAGTTGTTATAGCAAATCATTACACCAGATTGATGCCACGGTCATGTACAAAAGTTTATTTTGCTGATTTTAGTGCAAACTACATTTTACCCACCACACTGGCAAAAATAATGCATATTTTTAACATATTTTATTTAGGTTCACCTTCACCCAGATAAATTTTTTAAGGGAAAAAAAATCCCTCAATTAATATAACTAATTATTTTCAGCAAATACACAGAGTAAGCAGATGAAGCAGTCACTTAGCATCTCAAATTTTTATTAGGCCATATTAGGGGAGCCTAAACTTAAATATAAATAAACAGTAAATAGATAATTCAAAATAATTATAATTTGCATTTTATAGCTGATTTATTAATGACATATGACAAATCTAGATGCAAGACCTTCTTTATTAACAATAAAACATAGCAAACTAAGTGAATATTTCTAGAGTATTTATGCTAAAATTATGCATTCTAAATGTTGACACTTTTAACAAATGCAGTGTTCTTCACTTTGAATATTTAATTTGCCGGAGTACTGTCTTTTAATATTGTTCTTAAATCCCTTTATATTAGCAGAACTGATTTCTATAAACAGCTCTGTTTTTACTTATCTGGACTACAGGCCAGCAAGTCTGCCTGGATCGGCAAGGCTTCCCATAAGCTACAGAATGTCTTAGGTGGAAGTTAGAGAGAATCTAGTCACCCCTTTATTTTTTAGAGGAAGAAAAGGATTCGGGGTAGGTAAGGGACTTGGCCAAGGTCACACAGCTGGCAATCTGGGTGATATCAGTGAATTTAGTTCTAAATATGGGTCTCCAGGAGCCCCACTAAACTAACAGTAAAAGAAAGCCAGTGTTTTATCCCTATAGTCATGGATCCTAGGGTGACCCATATGAAGCTGCTGCTTTAGTAAGCTCAAAAAACAGACTGATGATTGGAAAATTGGTTTTAGAAATATGTTGGGACTGGAATTCTACAATTTAAATTTTATACTTTTAAATGCCATTTTAAAAATGGAACCTGTATATTTGAGTCAAAACTGCTTGGATATTATGTTTGTTTGCTAGGGCTGCCATAATAAAGTACCCCACACGGGGTGGCTTAAACAACAAAAATTCATTGTGTCACAGTTCTGGAAGCTGTAAGTCTGAGATCAAGGTGTTGGCAGGACTGGCTCCATCTGAGGGGCATGAGGAAGAATCTGTTTCATGCCTCTCTTCTAGCTTCTGGTGGTTTTTTGGCAATCCTTACCATTCCTTGGCTCATAGATGCATCATCCTGATCTCTCCCTTCATTTTCCCATGGTGTTCTCCCTGTGTGCAAGCACGTCTCCAAATGTCTCCATTTATAAGGACACGAGTCATATTGGATTAGGAGCCCACCTTCCTCCAGTATGACTTTATCTTAACTAATTATCATATCTGCAATGACCCTAGTTCCAAATGAGGTCACATTCTGAGGTATTGGGAATTAGGACTTAAATATTTGAATTTGGGTGGGGGGGGCAGTGCACAACTAAACCTACAACAAACACAAACATGGAAAAATATTTCATTTTGTGATCACTATACAGAAATATTAGACATTGCATCCTATGTTATTAGAAAATTCAGTTTGTACATAATAAAAAAAAAAAAGAAAATTCAGTTTGTAAGAAAAGAGGGCCCAAAAGTAGAAGGTAGGAGGAAAAAGAAAAGGTAGGAGAAAAGATTGTCACATGTATGTGTATATGTAACCCCTCCTGTCACTGAGCATTGACACTGGTGTAAATATTTGTTGCCTTATTTAAATCCCATGACGGTCCTTTGAGGGCAATATGAGATTAAGCAACTGGCCTAAGATTAAGTGTATTCTTGGCCAACTAGCAGTAGGGCTAGAATTCAGGCACAGACCTTTTCCAATTCCAAAGCCCTTCCTTTCTTAACTGCCATTCTACATGGCCTTAAAATTCACCGTTTGCTATTCATCGATACCTACTGATATTTTTATTTTCCTGTATGAGATGTGTAAAATATAATGTATGCAGGAAGGTTTTTACATATACATGTGTCATTGTTTGGGGGAATAGTATTCACTGACAGAATGCATTTTTCTACATGCTATGATACAGCATTATGCGTTCACCATTCTGTTCATTTTTCTCTTTGGCACTTCATTTCTCATCCTTTCTAGCAGTTAGATGGGTCTATATGGCCCAGTCTGGCCAATGAAATATGAATGGAAGTGATGCAGCCACTTCTTGGCATAGCCTTCAAATATCCTATAATTTCTTCCCCACTTTCCATTTGTTGACCCACTACGTGCAGAGATTCCAATGGAGAACTCTGTGGCTCTGGAAGAAGACAGAATGACTGCAAAGAGCAGAGGATATGACTTGGGCAAGAAATAAGCCTTTATTGTGTTAAGCCATGGATATTTGGGGGTTGTTTGTTTCAGCAGCTGGCATTACTTAGCCTGATTAATACACAAGCATTCCATAGAACAATTACACAAGTGCATTAAAATGCCTTTCCACGACATTCCCAAAGAGGATTTATAGGACTGTCCAGATGGTCAAGGAGATTGCAAACCTGGAACTCTGAGGTTAAGAGTCAATGGTCAATGTCTGAGGAAAATGCATCTAGAGCAGCTCTGTTAAATGAGACTTTCAGCAATAATGGAAAGGTTCTATTCTGTGCTGTCCAATATGATAGCCACTAGCTACATGTGACTATTGAGTCATTACCAGCTAGTGCAAATGAGGAACTGAATTTTTAATTTAATTTAATTTTAATTAATTAAAATTTAATTTTTACGGGACATGTGATTACATGGATTACAGGACAGCTACTATGTTGGACAGTGCAGATCTAGAGAAAAAGTGACAAGATGGATAAGCACAGGGGGAGATCATAAGTTACTGGGAGTTAGAAAGGTAGGAACTAGAATGTGAGATGCCATCCTTGGTGGGAGGTGATGGTGGTCAAGAGGGGAGATGTGATCATTAGTTTTATGTGTCAAGTTTGCTAGGCCATGGTATCCAGTTGTTTGATCAAATACCAGTCTAAATGTCACTGTGAAGGTATTTTTAAGATGTGATTAGTATTTATAAATCAGTAGATTTTGAGTAAAGCAAATTATCCTCTGTAATCGGACAGGCCTCATTCAATCAGTTGAAAGCCTTAAGAGAAAAGACTGAGGTCCCAAAAAAAAGAATCCTGCCTCCAGATTGCCTTTGGATTCAAGACTGCAGCATCAATTTCTGCTGAAATGTCCAGACTGCAGGCCTGCCCTATAGACTTTGGACTTGCTAGCCCCTATGTTTGTATAAGCCAATTCTTTAAAATATTTCACTCTCTCTCTTTCTCCAGATTATCCATCTATCTACATATCTATCTATCTATTTATCTATCTATCTTATAGGTTCTATTTCTCTGGAGAACCTTGACTAATACAGGAGAGCATGAGGTTACTAAGAGCATTTTGCTCAAAGGCACTTATAACAGATAATTTGAAACAATAAGAATTGAGTGCAAAGTCCAATAAACAAAGTGAAAACAGATTTCCTCATTTTACTTCATATCGTGTAAGCCAAGCTAATAATATGTGGGTTTCTAAAATACACAAGTTCTGTGAAAGCTAAATAACAGCCAGAAATATAATAACAGAGCATTTAGTCTCTAGTTAGAGACTTCTTCTTCTTCTCCTTCTCCTTCTTCAAGTAGGCTTCATGCTGGGCATGCAGCCCAGCATAGGGCTTGAACTCAGGACCCTGAGATCAAGACATGAGATGATATCAAGAGTTGGATGCTTAACCAACTGAGCCACCCCAGGTGCCCCTCTAGCTAGAGACTTCTTAAATGAGATGGGTTCACTTTGTCTCACAGCTCTTGCATACCTATGATTTCCATGGAAGTCCTTGAATTTGCTTCCATGAGGTCTTCAGGATTGTCCCTTTGTTGACAAAGAGGAATCCTCAGAGGCGGTAGACCTGCAGTGCCAAATCCTTGTATGTATTCTTTTCTCCCTGTAGGCCTGGATGATGGCTTGGTTCTTCCTGGCAGGAACTGCTCTGCCACTGTGGATTGCTGGATGCATGAGCAGCAGCCCTGCATCCCTGTAGGTGCTGATGTCACACGTGAACAATCTTTGAATGCTGTGATTCTCCTCAAAAATCATTTGGTGGATTTCATAATTGTTTGCCACTTGGATACACTTCTCATCAGGGTTCAACAAGTACTCCTAACTAGAAGGATTGGAAACAAAGGGATGCTCTGGGCCTGTTCTTACAACTCACACACAGGTTGAAACCAAAGGGTTTTGCATAATAAATACCATTTAATTTGATGACTATGTGTTTATGTTTATAAGGTGACAGGGCGCCAGGTGAAGAATGTTCTACTTCTCATTGTCTGCAATTATCTATAGCATGTGTCTTTGTAGAAATGTTGACTTCATTCATTCCTGGGGCACTCAGATGGTGGCTGCCACATAGAGCACCCTCCCTGCTCCAGCAAACACTTGCCATCGTGTCCTAGAGAAGTGGTAGAATACAGAGGTTGGGAATTTTGGCTCAGGTGCCCCCTCTGTGTGGTATACTACCACCTCCTCTTACAAGCTATGCAAACTTGGGCAGATTACTTAAACTTGCTGTGCCCCAAATTCTTTAGGCACGTTGAGAGGATTAAAAGCAGTGAGCTGTGTGATGCACTTAGAATCATGTCTGGTAGAATTAGCCCTCAATAAACATAAGTTAGCCTCACTTCTTCAGAAGGCAAGAAGAATATCCCTTTGGGAGATGGAGAGAGCCATCAGAGGTAAGGGCCCACATTTTGCTTCTTACTATTTGTCTCCCTCTCAAAGGCATTTCCCAAGCTTTCTCTCCATCTTCCTTCTTCAATCCTCACATGCCCACTCAGACAAGTCAAGTCACTTGAACTTATCACCAAGGACCTGGTAGGTGGCGTTCAGTTGGGAACCTCAATCCATGATTCAGGTTCAGCTCTGGCAGTTGGTGGGATCCTCCCACCTCTCAAGAGTAGAAATCAAGGGCACGGGAAGGGGAGTGTAGCACCGAATTTTCAAAAGATCACATACTTTAACATCTGAAGACCTGAGTTCAAATCCTGACCCTGCCAAATACTAGCTATGTGAACACATTTCTTAAGATCTTGAATGCTTCATTTGGCTCATTTCAAAAATGAGGGTGGTGTTATGTTTTTTTAACAGAGTTACTGTGAAGTGTGAATATGGTATCATTTGAGAAGCACTTAGCACAGTCCTGGCCCATAGAAACCATCCAATAAGCAAATGGTTCCAACAACTCCCTGAGGACAAGGAGCATTCCTAATTTCTTAGGACTTTTAAATGTAACCAAAGAGGATGGCAACCAGTTCATTTCATTAATGGTTGTGTGTGTGCACACACACATGCACCAATAAATATCATCAAGTAGGTAACATTAATGGACTCTTACTTCATTCCTAACTCTTTATAAGTATCACCCCCATTTTCCAGATGAACAATCTGGGGCACATCTAGGGTACACAATCTAACTGAGGACACATAATTCATTAAAGGACGAGTGGTATTATAACTTACATGAAAGAGCACAGAGCCCAAACTCTCAGCCGCTACGCTTCACAAAGGTAAGTGTTTGTTGGATCAGGGAAACTGAAGCATGAGAGGTAATGCATGACCAGGGTGGGCCGGCCACTGCAGCTTGAGCAGAAGTTGGAGTGGGCCTGTGGAGGTGTGACAGAGGTGTTGCTTCTCCCCAGTGGTAGGTTTTCTCGGGCTGGACTCAATCTGGAATCTTGGCAGCTATTTAAATAATGCATTGGGAGTATTTTAAAACTGTGTTTCATTACCACAACTCAATTGTAAGACTTCTGCAGGGAGGAAGACTGGCATATATTTCTTTGGTATTCTTCAGCCCAGCTCCAGGATGAGAACCCAGCCCCAAAGATTACCCCAAAATACCAACTGATGGGCAGAGGTAGCAACAAGAAACCATTTTTTAAAATCGCAGTATAGTTCACATATTATAAAATTCACTCCTTTAAAGTGTACAATTCAGTGGGTTTTAGTATATTCACAGAGTTGTGCAACCATCACCACTCTGTAATTCCAGAACATTTTATCACCCCCAAAGGAAACCATATACCCATTAGCAGTTACTCTTCATTCCCCTGGACCTCCAGTCCCTAACAACTGCTCATCTACTTTCTATCCCTACAGATTTACCTATTCTGGAAATTTCATATAAATAGAATTATACAATATGTAGCCTTGTGTCTGAAGAAGCCATTATTTTTTAAATGCAATAAGAAGGTCAGTATGGGAGTTAGCTTCCACATTGACCCTTACATTAGTTTGCTGGGGCTGCCATAACAAAGTACCACAGATGGATGGCTTAAACAACAGAAATTTATTATCATCTTACAGTCTGGAGGCTGAAAGTCCAATATCAAGGTTTCAGCAGGGTTGGTCTCTTCTGAGGCCTCTCTCCTTGGCTTGCAGAAGGCCACGTTCTCCCTGTGTCTTCCTTCAGTCTTCCCTCTGTACTGGCTTATGTCCTAATCTCTTTTTATAAGAACACCAGCTATATTGGATTAGTCCCACCCTAGTGACTTCATTTTAATTTAATTACCTCTTTAAAGAGACTATCTCCAAATAAAGTCACATTCTGAGGTACTGGGGCTTAGGGCTTCAACATATGAATTTGGCAGTGGGGGGCAGACACAACTCAACCTATAGCATTCCCTCAGTGTTCCTTTCTACCCAAGAATTCATGCCCTTATATAGTACCCTCCCACACTGAATCAAGGCTAACTTGTGTGATGGTGGTGACATCCAAGGATAGCTCTCTTTGAGGTAAACCAGCCACCATACTGTGAGGACACCTGAGTAGTCCTTAGGAAGGGGCCATTGGGTGAGTAACTGAAGCTTCCTGCTAACAGCCAGTACCAACTTAACAGCCCTGCAAGTGAGTGGGAGTGGATCCTCTGGCCCTGTCTAACCACCTGATGACTGCAGCTCTCGCCAACATCTGACTAGAGAGAACTCATCAGCCAAGCTCCTCTTGAATTCTGGTCCACAGAAACTGTGAGGTAATAAATGATCCTTGTTATTTTAAGCCATTCAGTTTTGGGATTATTTGTTATGTGGCATGAGGTAACTGAAACAGTTGAGGTGATTAGTAGTGGTTGAAGAAGCCAATGACGATTATACACCCACTATCTTCTAGCCACAGAATCATCTTTGGTAATCCTCTATGAGCCTCACATGAGCTCTGCAAAGTGTGTGTTATCATCACTGTTTCATCGAGGCTCAGGGGTTAAGGGCATTGCTGAGGTCTTAAATCTATATGCTTTCCACTGTATCCCTGGTCCCCTACTGTAGAATACCCTCAGCCAGGACTGGTGTTGTGTACACAGTTAACTGCTTGCTATCGCTTAGCAGCAATGAGAGTGATCTAAAAGGTGTCTCGTACTTACCTTAGAATTCTACTTTGGAAAAGTCACTCTTTTGCACTCAATGTTTTCTTTTTCTTCCCCCTCATATATTTCTTTACTTTCTTTTCTTGTGTGTGTGTGTGTGTGTGTGTGTGTGTGTGTGTGTACGTTTTAGTGTTTTCAAAGAAAAATGACTTTTTATTTCCCATGAATCATGACTTGGATGGGTTCAGCTGGGTGATCTGGGTTGCATATTAGGCTGCATTCAACTAGGAGCTCAACTGAGGCTGGAATGTCCAAGATGGCTTCACTCTTATACCTAGGCTTTGGTATAGCTATTGGCTGAACCTCTCTTTCCACATGGTCCTGCATCATTCAGTGGTTTAGCTTCATTCTGCTGTGGCTGGCTTCCAAAAAAAGCTCTCCTATATTTTACTATTTTTAAAGCAATATGTCATGCAAAATTCAACTGAAAATATATAGCGTGAAAATATCACTGTCACCAGACACTCCTATTTCTTTTCTCAGATGCACCCAGCTACCACTTTTTAAATCAGACTTCCTGAGTTATTCTGCACACATATGTCTATCTGTATATCTATATAGTTTGATCTATATAGCTATTATATTATTTAAAATATTGACATTGGTGGCACTTAATGCAGTAACTTTTAAAAAATTGGCTTTATAATGTCATAGAGATAGGCATCTTTCCGGTACACCACAGTGTCACCCCACTGTGGCACTACAAGTAGGTCTTTCATCAGACGTGTACACGTGCCATGCTTATGGAAACATGATCCCAGAAGTGCTGCTGACTGATACCTCTGGGGTTTTTGAAACTTGCTTCATTAAGTCATACTTACAGATGTGCTCTACCACTTTAAGGCCCCTTTCCCCAATTTCCATTAGATTTTTTTAATAGCCCACTTCTACTCCATTTTCTTAGAGAAATTATCCCTTCTCGGCTTTAGTGACCTACACCTGAGCCCCACCTTCAATCATTAGCTGTTTCTGTTACTGCTCGAAACTACATAGAGTCAGATCTATTACTTTGTAATAATAGCCTTAGGAGACAAGCATGGCAGAGTCAGTACTGCATTGTTAGTATCCAAGTACATGCTGTTCAACGTTGTATCATCACTGTTTCAAGTGTATACTCCCATATTGAGTAAGATGAAAGACATAATCTAGAGCCAGAAGACTCTAGTTCTAACTCTAGCTCTGCTACTAAGGGGCTTGATCATTTGTTAAATGACCTGCCTTAGTGTGAGTTCCAAAACACATCTCAAGGCAAGGGTTTCTTTGGCACAATTGGTTTGTTTAGGGGTGATCCCAGGAAGCAGTTGAGAAAGAGGGGGTGCAAGACAGGGAAGGGAAGGAAGCAGATACAAGGTGCCTTAATGAGCAGGTTACCACTATGAACAGCTATAACTCAATTCAATGGGGACATCTCAGCGACTATGTAGAATAGAACAGAATCATCCTGATTGAGGGATGAGGAAGTAGGGTTTTATTATCTACCTACTCCCATAACTCACTGATGGAAAGTTGCTCCTGGTGTTTCCAATCTTCCATGCACTCTCTGAGGCAGCCCCAGGACCAAAGAACACCTTCAGGCAGAGAGATACAGGATGCCCTCGGCTGTACAGAAACTGTGAAGGTCACTTCTAGGGGACCAAGGGAAAATGGATTTGGACAGAATCTGCTCTGTTTGGAAACAGCATATACATTAGCTAAGAACCTAGCCTTTGGCTCCTTGAGGAAGTACCTCATGGTAGGGCAGCAAGTAAGGATTTTTTGAGCACTTACTCTGGGCCTAGGGTGCTTAGCACTTGGGAGTGCAAAAGAAATTTCCATACAGGGCTAAGTGCCTGGGTGGCTCAGTCAGTTAAGCGACCGACTGTTGGTTTACACTCAGGTCATGATCTCACAGTCATGGGATCGAGCCCAGTGTGGAGCTCCACACAGTGTGCTCCAGAGTCTCTCTCCTTCTGCCCCTCCCCTGGCTTGCACTCTTTGTCTCTCATATAAATAAATAAATAAATAAATAATCTTAAAAAAAAAAAGAAATTTCCATACAGGGCTTAGAATGTCAGGCATATACTGAGTGTTTGCCCTGGGTGGGCCTTTAACATACGTGATCCCATCAATTCTAATGTAGTGCAGCAAGTTAAGCATTATTATTCTGAGGCTCAGAAAAGTTGATTTTTTTGTTCAAGATCCCACAGAGAAATAGAGGTCAACCCGTGGTCATCTATGTGACAGATGTCCTCTAAGCTGGCTACAGGGAGCAGGGACACCAGGCTATGGCTGACCTCTGGTTTCTGCTGGCTTGCTGAGAACTAATACATGAGGTTATTAAGGTTATAAGATAAAAGATCAATTTTTTAATAAATTTTTAAAATTTAATATTATTTATTTGAGAGAGAGAGAGCGAGAGCCAGAGAGCACAAGCACGAGCAGGGGAAGGGCAGACGGAGAGGGTGAAGCAGACTCCCTGATGAGCAGGGAGCCTGATGTGGGGCTTAATCCTGGGACCCTGGGATCATGACCTGAGCCGAAGGCAGATGCTTAACCCACTGAGCCTCCTAGGTGTCCCAAAAGATCAATATTTTTAAAAAATCTATTTATTTCTATACATCAGCAACAAGCAATAGGAAATTGAAATTTTAAAAAATGCTGTTTATAATAACATAAAAAATGAAATACTTAGAGATAAATCTGACAAAAGATGTGGAAGTTTTATACAGTGGAAGCTGTGAATATTGCTGAGAGAAATTAAAGAAGATCTAAGTAAATGGAGAGAACCTTGGATCAGGAGGCTCAATATTGTTAAGATGTCAGTTCTCCCCAGATTGATCTATAGATTTGGTGGAATTCCAATCAAAATCCCAGCAGGCTTTTTTTGTAGAAATTGACAAGCTACTTCTAAAATTCATATGGATGTGCAAAGAATCTAGAATACCCCAAACAACTCTAAAAAAGAAGAAAGTTGGAGAAGACTGATTTCATTTATTACAGGGCTGCAATAATCTACTACCTTGCTTAAAAAGAAACGGTTCAGCTGCCCCCACATGATTTGGGTAGAAGAACTTGGTGGATGCACTCAGAAACTGGAAGGTGGAGGGGATTGAGCTTGAGCAGGTCTCATCCTGAGCCTAAGTCTTGGGCCAGTTGGTTGCCTTGTGACAGTAAGAACTCCAGTGCATTCAAGAAAATGACTTTTTTACTTGTTGGTTATATATTTGCTGATTTTCTGGGTTTTGTTGTAAGATTGGGAACAACACTCTCTCCAGCTCTATACATCACCAAGCAGAAACTGTAACTCAATGGAATGAATTTTAAATAAAAGGGAGAAGGGATGAAATGATTCAGTGGTCTAGAAGTGACTGTGAAATGAAAAGAGGGCCTCAGGCCAACTGGATGTTGAAAGATTGTCAGAAAGCCCTAGAGCACAACGTCAAGGTTCTCTATCACTTTTCCATTTTCAACACCACATGGGATTCCTTCTCCAACATTCCCTAAATTACTTACCTTGTATATTTCAAAGCTGATTCTCTCTACAGCAATAAATTTCTAATTAACATGTTGGAAATTGTGACATCATCTTTGAGCAATAAAAGGATAGAAAGGGAAAGAATAATCTGCTATCACAGTAGAAGAGGAATACTAAGAGTTCCCATGACTTCCCAAATCTCAGAAAATGCACCCTGCATTCCAAGAGTAAGAGAATAATTTGACCTCATGTTATTTTCATTAAGATATTCAGCTACATCTCTAGAATATTTTGGCCACATCATTCACAAAAATGATTACCTCCTGTAGACAAGGTCAATGTCATTGTGTTTTACAGAAGCATCAGATAAGAATTCCCTCATCACAAAACCGCAGAAATATTTAAGGTTTACTTAAGCAACTTTATAGAGAAAATGTAATAGAGCTTCTTTCACATTAACTTATCAACTATTTAATTCCATAACCTCTTTAGGTCCTAAAATTTTTATAATTCAATAATTGGTCCATATTATCTTATTTCATTTTTTATTAGGTGTTTCATATTTGCCTTGCCTCAGTGTTAATAACTTTAAGGATAGCAAAATATTCCATCTCATTAATGAGTCTTGGGAATTTGAGAACAAGAAATTTTGAAAAGATCTAAAAAATAAATCTAGAAGATATTCCCTGTAGAAATGATGAAACTGTGACCCCCAGAGAAGCAGAAATAGTAGACACTGTCAGTTCCTGTTCTGACATCTATTGTAACATGATAAATGATTTTTTATTACCTGTCATGGTTCTGTGGGTTGATTGGGCTCAGCTGGGTGATTCTTGCTTGGAGTCTGTATCAGTCAGGGCTCTCCAAAGAAACAGAACCGTTTATATAATATGTAAATACTTATATATCATATATTTATATATGTAATTGGTTTTATAATTCATATAATTTATAAATATTATATAACATCAAAATAATACATTATATAAATTAATATAAATAATTCTAGTTATAATAATCATAATAATTATATAAATTGTATTACATAATATGTTATATAATTACATTATATAAGAAAATATATTAATATAATTATATTATACAATTATTATAATATATAATATAATCATAATAATATAATGTATTTCTATATAAATAAATACAAACATAAATATAAATTAATTATATAATTTATAATACAATTTATATATTGTATACTTACATATCTATACTTTTTAAAATCTGTTTTTTTAAGGAATTTAGGCAGGCATTGGTACAGCAGTCTTGAGGCAGAATTTCTTCTCTTCAGTTTTCTCTTAAGGCCCTCATGATTGGGTGAGGCCCACCCACATATTTGAGGATAATCTCCTTTTATAAAGTTGACTGATTTTAGATGTTGACTATATCTACAAAATACCTCACAGCAACATCTGGATTAGTGTTAGATTAAAGTGTTAGATTAACTGAGTACGATAGCCTAGCCAAGTTGACGCATTAAATCCATCCATCATATGGCCTCTCATATGGTTACAATTATATGTCTTCTCAAGGCTCCCATTGGGCTGGATGCCTAAGATGAGCACTCCTATGGTGGTTGGTGCTGGCCATCAGCGGGAAGCTCAGCTCAGGCTCTTGACCATGCCAACCTGATCTCTCTCCATTGGTTTGGAATTCTCTCTGCATGGCATGGTAGCTGGGTTCTGAGAGGGAGTATCCTAGGAGCCAGCATTCCAAGAAATAGGAAACAGAGGCTGCTAGGCCTGGAGCCAGTACAGTGTTACTTCCACTATGTTCTATTGGTCAAAGCAGTCATGGGCTCACTCAAATTCAAGATGGTGGAGATACAGATTCCATCTTTTTATGCAAGAGTGGCAAGGCCACACTATAGAATGTATGGGCTGGGAGGTTTAGTTGTGGGTATTTTTGGAAAATATAATGACACTCATCATTTCCCTGTACACTGGCCAGCCAGCCAACTACCAGCACCAGCAACTCTTTGCTTCAGGGCTTTCTCCAGGGGCCAAGAGTCCACTGTGCTTCTTGGGAGACAGGTCTGCAGCTATGGGAAATTCATACCTACACCCTGCAGTTCTCAACCAATAACTGACAAGAGTTGGATATTACAATTCCCTTGCTTCCCAGAGCTCCTCCAGTAGGATTAAGTTCCAGTTGCAGACAACGGTAACCTGCTTGATAATTCCCTCTTTATTGTTGCCTTCCTTTCACTGTTTCTCTTCTCTACTTTCCCAACTGTGTTGCTTCCTGAGATCACCTCCTGAAATATTTACTTGCCCTCTAATCTTTGTCTCAAGATCAGCTTCTGGGAGAATCCAACTAAAGTTATATAATTTGTCCAAGGTCAGAGCCTAAACTAGGGGCTAAGCTGACTCCCAGTCAAGAGTACTTCCCATATACATTATATTCTGAAAGAGTTTCAGAGTAATCAAGAGCTTGACTTTATCGAGTGATGGGGGGAGGGCTCACAAAAGAAAAATTTGAAGTGTATATTAGCTATATTAAACAGATGTTGCTTGGAGGGAGCCCTGGACTGAGTCAAGGAATGTGGGTTCTCACATGTTCTGTGCCATGAATATGTTGTGTAACTTTCCCAAGCATGAACAGGAAAGACTAAATTCCCATTCCACAGTCACACCTCCAGCATTCCTGTAAGACTCAAACGGATGACGACTGCAAAAGCAGTATCAGGAAGAAAAACAAGCAAATGAAAGGAACAATTTAATTTTTCTCAATTTTGATGACTCATTCAACAAAATATTATGTATTAAATTTTCTTGCAAGGTTCCCATGTAGCCTTGATCCACATTCTACATCTTAGAAGTAGACAATTAGCCAATCCATCGTTCCACACTGTCTGGATAATCAGGTTATGTTGAAAGCTTCTGCTTCTAAAACAAAGTCTTCAGATACGATTTTTAGCAGACAGTTGCTACTGGGATAGAAAGTGATCTCTCCATCCGAACAACAAATATTCCTATCATTGCAGAACATACATAGGCATGAACTGCCTATTTCTCCACTGGTTTATTTAAAAAAGAAAAGTCCACGTATTATGCTTCCCCCCACCACTAGCTTCTTTAGGATTTATGAAATTCACCTAGCTCTGTGTGGGTGTGTTGAGTTTTTGATACCTATCTCTTTGTGTGTTAGTGAGTAGGATGGAAAAATACAGAGAACAGATTAATAGGAGAGAGATATCTCAAGAATGGTCTTGGGCACAAGTAATAATATAGATACTGTTCCATGATAAAACGTAATGACAGGGTCAGGATGTACGTAGTTATTGGCTTACTAAATTGATCATTCTTTTCTGGGTGAAAAGGTAAGATGTAATTTAGGTGCTAATAATTTAGAATTTACTTTGGTTTGACATGTATTTTTATGTTATATTTTTTAAGGGAAATAATTTGATTCGGTCTACAGTTTGTTTAGAAAACTTTACTTTCCAACTTTAGTAAATCCACAAATGCTGGAACTGGCCTTCCCTTCTTACACACGAGCCTTTGCTTCTGCTAAGGTGGGAAAAGACTTAATTTGGGAATTACATTTCTCTCGAAGATGAATTTCAAACTGGATATTTTAAAAAAGATATGTTGGTTGACAGATTCATATCTACATTAACCCCTCCAGAGCAGGGGATGCTCTTTCTTTTGTTTATTGTTCTGCTGGTGTGTTACATCTTGAAAGCTGAGAACTAATTAGCCTCCTCTGTGTCACTAAGACAACTTTTTATGAGCACTTGCTTCTTCATTGTATGGAATCAAATACTAGGAACTTTCATTTATTTGGTATATTCATTTTTTAAAGATCCACCTAATAGACATAGGGAAAGGGGGTAAAAAAACCCTAGGAAATAAAATCAGTTTCTAAGACGTTAGAGTGAAACGCATAGATTTATTTTTTAAAAGAAAGCCTCAAATTAAGGATTGAATTAAAAAAACACTTTTATTTTCCTTTCTTGACATGTACAGTATGCAAAAGGCAAGAAAGCCTCTTTGAGTTGGGGAAAAAGTTGTCCTTTGAAATGACTTCAGTGATAGGATTTCATCTGTATTTCAAACGCATTAATTTCACACCGTCCACAGTAGGTAATGATGCGCAGATTCGGGTCAAATTCACCGTCCGGAAAAACTGCAAATTAAGATACTGTTGATGATTGATCCGCTGCCGGCTGTCTTAATCATCGTGATCAAAATCCAAATATTAAGAAAAGGGGCCCGGAGGGATGCCTTTGGGCTTTTGACAAACCCTTGACCAAACTCGGAAGCCCAGCCTGCGCTTTTCCTAATCTTTTTCTAGGCAAGAGGCCCCATCAGCCCGCGTGGGGCTCGCACTGTTTCTCGAGAGTGCTTCCACACCCCCACCCCCAAACCCAGACACACCCCGACCCCGCGAACGGGTCTGGGCTGTCAAAACACGCGGCGGCGTGCTGAGTCCCAGTAACTTGCATGACGATTAATGAGCGGCTTGATAATTTAATATCGCGTGTGATTAAATTATAAGGCGTGGGGGAGGGGAGCTCTGAGCTCCCTCGCCCGCCAGGGCCGACGCCGCGGAGCCTCCGGGTCTCGGCTGAGTGCGAACCGCGCTCTCCCTTCGTTCAGTGCCAGGCAGGCTCCGCAAGCGGCGCGTCCGCGCCTTCCCAAGGTCAGTGGGCCTCGAGAGGGGAGGGCGGCGGGGTGGGGGCTTTGGGGGAAAGGTAGCTCAAAGAGCCGAAGAGGGAGGTACGGCGGGTCGGAGCAGAAGAGCTGGGCGAGCGGCCGGCTGTTCTCCCGGCGAAGGCGCGGAGGGGTCGGGCGATGGCCCCATGCAAGGGAAGATCTCTTTCTTAAATCCCCTGTCCCTCTGCCACAGAGGTTTAGGGAGTCCTTGGGACCCCGAGACCACTGGGAAGAGGGGGCGCGGGGCCTGGCCCAGCGGGGTCTGCGCCCGGCCCCCGCCCCCCGCGCGTGGACTTGGAGAGGGTTTCCCTGCAGGCGAGGAGGTGGTGGCCGGGTTGAGTCCCCAAAGCCCCTCTCCTCCTCAGCCGCGGACCCCAGCCCTGTCCCGTGCCGGGCGGTGTCCACGCCAGCCTAGGTTTAGGCACGTCGGGAGGAGAGAGGGAGTATAAAGTCACGCAAGAGCCTGAAGTCTCGGGAAAGCGGACAGACGCTGACAGTGTCGGGGGTTCCCAGCTTGATTTATTGGGGAGGAGGCGCGGGAATCCGATCTAAGCCCCTTTGAGGTTACTGGAGGGACTCCTTGCTGTCATTCCCTTCTCCTTAAAGGATCACGGGCAGGCTCGGGCGTGGCCACCCTTTCCTCTGTAAGTGCGAGCACAGGTTTGGAGGCGAACGCCCCGCGTGCGCGGGCGTGGGTAAAGGGGCCGGCTGCCCGCACAGTCCCCGCAGCCACGACGCAGTTCTTCCGCGAGGGAGGTGGGTGGCTGCTCTAGCTGCAATGCAGAGCGCGCAGTGTACGCGGAGGACAGCAGTATTGGAGGGAGAAGCCCCTCGGTGGGCCAGACGGAGCGCTGCCTCTTCGTGGTCGCATCCAAGGGCTTCACAGTACAGGGAGGGCAGGCCCTCGAGAGACGAGGATGGCCCCGAGAAGACCCTAAGGAAACCACCCCGGGCTGTTCAGAGGCCGAGCAGGAGGGTGAGAAATGAAAACGCCGGTCAGGGCTCCGGAGGGTGGGTGTCCAAGCCATGCCCCGGGCCGGCAGGAGGACCGGTGCTGGCTGGATTTTCAGCCAGGCAATGAACCCTGGAGGGGATGCCGCAGGCTGAACCCAGGCTACCTGCCGCCCTTCAACTAGAGGGCCAGGGAGAGCTCCAGAAATGGCGCTTCTGGTGTCCGGTGCTTTGGGGTCCAGGAGCGGTGGCAGAACCTCCCTCCAAGAAAGGGATAGAAGCTTCCTAGGCCCGGTTCCTCGGATATGCAGAATCACAATCCTTCTTTGGCTTCTTTAAAAATTTGGAAGTAGCTCCAAGCAAGGGGAAAATCAGTAGCAACTAAATAAACTTGTAAACAAAGGCCATAGTATGGGGGATATATATTATATATTTACATATATATAATATATGCATGTGTAATATATGTATATATAATATATAATATAGATTATATATATATATAAAACATCCAAAGATACTATGAAAATGAACCTGCCTGAGCAGAAACAAACCACAAATCTGTTCAAGGAGGCTTAGTGTGAAATACCCCAAATTAGCAATGGGTGTAGGTAGGCTGTA